TGGACACATAAAACACCGGATGCACGGTTGATAAGCTCGGCGGCAATGCAAGTCTATAAGTCATCTCCCCCACTCGATCAAGAATCTCAAACACGCCAATGAACCTAGGGCTAAGCTTGCCCTTCTTCCCAAATCTCATCACGCCCTTCACAGGCGACACTCGAAGCAATACCCGCTCACCGACCATGAAAGCCAAATCTCGAACCTTGCGGTCGGCATAACTCTTTTGCCTGAACTGAGCTGAACGAAGCCTATCCTGAATGATCTTGCCCTTGTCCAAGGCATCTTGAATCATATCCGTACCCAACAACAGAGCCTCTCCCGGCTCAAACCATCCAACCGGAGATCGACACCGCATACCATATAAAGCCTCATAAGGAGCCATCTGAATACTCGACTGGTAGCTGTTGTTGTAGGCAAACTCTGCTAAAGGCAAAAACTGATCCCACGAACCTCCAAAGTCAATAACACAAGCTCGAAGCATATCTTCTAAAATCTGAATAGTCCGCTCGGACTGACCGTCCGTCTGGGGATGAAATGCTGTACTCAACTCAACTCGTGTGCCCAACTCTCGCTGAACTGCTCTCCAGAAGCGCGAGGTAAACTGCGTACCCCAATCCGAAATGATAGACACGGGCACACCATGAAGGCGAACAATCTCCCAAATATAGATCTCAGCAAACCTCTCAGAAGAATAGGAGACTGCCACATGAATGAAATGCGCTGACTTGGTCAGCATATCAACAATGACCCAAACCGCGTCGAACATCTTCCGAGTCAGCGGAAGTCCAGTAACGAAGTCCATAGTGATCCGCTCCCACTTCCACTCGGGAAGCTCAAGCCTCTAATGCTCATACTTAACCTGCTGACAATTCAAACAACGAGCCACATATGCTACAATATCCTTCTTCATTCTACGCCACCAATAATGCTATAAATCCTGATACATCTTCGCGGCGCCCGGATGAATAGAGTACCGGGACTATGGGCCTCCTTTAAAATCAACTCTCGGAGCCCATCCACATTAGGCACACAAACTCGACCCTGCAATCTCAAAACTCCATCATCATCTAAAGTAACCTGCCTGGCACCTCTGCGCTGCACCGTGTCTCTAAGGACACACAAATGGGGATCATCATACTGCCGATCACGGATACGCTAAACGAGGCATACCCGGTAAAGCTAAGGTCACAGTCTTGGCATGACAGTCCAAGATAGCGTGATAGGGTGATAACCAATCCATCCCCAATATAATATCGAAGTCAACCATGTCTAAAAGCATAAAATCTACACGAGTCTCCAGACCCCAATCACCACAACACAAGAACGATGGACTCGATCAACCATAATAGAGTCACCCACCGGTGTAGACACACCCAATGCATCACTAGGCATGATCAAATACGGGGCAAAATAGGATGACACATACGAATACATAGACCCCGGATCAAAAAACACTGAAGCATCTCTATCACAAACCAAAACAGTATCTGCACCTTCACCTCTAATACCTTTACCTCCACCTCTAGCATCTCTACCTCCACCTCTAATACCTCTACCTCTCCCTCTAATACTTCTCTTTGAGTGATGTGGAGAAACTTCTCCAGAAATAGCTGCGTGAACTGTTCTCAAGACAAAGCTGATGCCCTAACTGATATAGCCAATCAATAATCTCTCCAACAGGTCTTGGCGGATCCAGACAAGCAAAGAGTGGCAAAATCGACCCCATTGGTCTCCACGATCCCCATGTTCCTGAGAACCTCATGACAACTGTCTAGATAATCCTGGGGATCCTCAGTAGATGTACCGCTGAATGTAGTTGGTATCAGAGCTCTAGGTTACATGGGTCTCACAGTTCACAGACAAGCTTAGTAGAGTCTGAGGGATCGGTACGGAGACGTCTGTATTTATCCCCCATAGGCTACAGAGTTAGGAAAAGTTTCACTTCTATTATTCTCTGTCGTGCAATTTTGTTCTCTCAATGCTAAATTAAAACTCTTGTCCTTTCGCGGATGGTGAGGTCATGTACCGCTTCTTCAGCCGAACAACAACACAGACCAGTGATAGATCAGCTATGTCTTCGGAGTCTTTGTGGAGGTTGGATAAGTTTCATCAGGCTCTTCACCACTACATTCAGCGGTACATCTACTGAGGATCCCTAGGATTATCTAGACAGTTGTCATGAGGTTATCAGGAACATGGGAATCGTGGAGACCAATGGGGTCGATTTTGCCACTTTTTGCTTGTCTGGATCCGCCAAGACCTGTTGGAGAGATTATTGATTGGCTATATCAGTTAGGGCATCAGCTTTATCTTGAGAACAATTCACGCAGCTATTTCTGGAGAAGTTTCTCATCACTCAGAGAGAAGTATTAGAGGGGGAGGTAGAGGTATTAGAGGTAGAGGTAGAGATGCTATAGGTGGAGGTAAAGGTATTAGAGGTGGAGGTGCAGGTACTGTTCTGGTTTGTGATAGAGATGCTTCAGTGTTGTTTGATCTGGGGTCTACGTATTCGTATGTGTCATCCTATTTTGCCCCGTATTTGATCATACCTAGTGATGCATTGGGTGTGTCTACACCGGTAGGTGACTCTATTATGGTTGATCGAGTCCATCGTTCTTGTGTTGTGGTAATTGGGGGTCTGGAGACTCGTGTAGATTTGTTGCTTCTAGACATGGTTGACTTCGATATTATATTGGGGATAGACTGGTTATCACCCTATCACGCTATCTTGGACTGTCATGCCAAGACTGTGACCTTAGCTTTATCGGGTATGCCTCGTTTAGAGTGGAGAGGGACTCCAGGTCATTCTACCCGCAGTGTGTATCTCGTATGTGAAGGCTCAGCGTATGGTCGAGAAGGGGTGTTTGGCCTATTTGGCATATGTTCGTGATTCTAGTAGCGAGGTCCCTTCTATTGATTATGTGCCCATTGTTCGTGAGCTACCTGAGGTATTTCCTTCAGACCTGCCGGGTATGCCACCCGACAGGGATATTGACTTCTGCATTGATTTGGCTCCAGGCACTCAGCCCATTTCTATCCCGCCGTATTGTATGGCCCCGCCGGAGTTGAAAGAGTTAAAGGAACAGTTGTAGGATTTGCTTGAGAAGGGTTTCATTAGACCTAGTGTCTCACCTTGGGGTGCGCCGGTGTTATTTATCAAGAAGAAGGATGGGTCAATGAGAATGTGTATTGATTACCGGCAATTGAACAAGGTAACGATCAAGAATAAGTATCCACTGCCGAGGATTGATGATTTGTTCGACCAGCTTCAAGGTGCCAGGGTATTCTCCAAGATTAAATTGCGATATGGCTACCATCAGTTGAGGATTAGGGCATCCGATGTCCCTAAGACAGCTTTTCGCACTCGGTATGGGCATTATGAGTTCTTGGTTATGTCATTCGAATTGATGAGTGCCCCAGCAGCTTTTATGGACTTGATGAATCAAGTGTTCAGGCCTTATTTGGATTCATTCGTGATAGTTTTCATTGATGATATATTGATATATTCCCGTAGCCAGGAGGAGCACGAGCAGCACCTTAGAGTGGTTCTTCAAACTCTGAGGGATAGTCAGTTATATGCCAAGTTCTCCAAGTGTGAGTTCTGGCTGAGTTCAGTTGCATTTTTGGGTCATGTTGTGTTAGCAGAGGGTATTCAGGTTCATCTGAAGAAGATTGAGGCAGTCAAGAACTGGTCTAGACCAGCATCAGCTACGGAGATTCGTAGTTTCTTGGGATTGGCAGGCTACTATCGTCGGTTCGTGGAGGGGTTCTCATCTATCGCAGCCCCGATGACCAGGTTGACACGGAAGGGTGCCCAGTTTAGATGGTCGGACGAGTGTGAGGCGAGCTTTCTGAAGCTCAAGACAGCTCTGACTACGGCACCGGTGTTGGTTTTGCCAACAGGTTCAGGGACTTATATAGTCTATTGTGATACTTCCTGTGTTGGGCTTGGAGCAGTGTTGATGCAGGATGGCAAAGTCATTGCCTATGCTTCGAGGCAGTTGAAGATTCATGAGAAGAACTATCCGGTTCATGATTTGGAATTGGCAGCCATAGTTCACGCATTGAAGATTTGGAGGCATTATCTGTATGGCGTGGCATGTGAGGTATTCACGGAACACAAGAGTCTTCAGTATTTGTTTAAGCAAAAGGAGTTGAATTTGAGGCAGAGGAGGTGGTTGGAGTTGTTGAAAGATTATGATATCACCATCTTATATCATCCGGGAAAGGCCAATGTGGTGGCCGATGCTTTGAGTAGGAAGTCAGCCAGTATGGGCAGTCTTGCTTATATTCCGGCCGGTGAGAGGCCGCTTGCTTTGGATGTTCAGGCTTTAGCCATTCAATTCGTGAGGCTGGATGTTTCTGAGCCCAGTGGTGTGTTAGCTTGCACGGTATAGAGTTTAGCCGTGGTAAAAAGCTAGTATTGTTTTTCCTTTTACACGAGTCTTTATTGTATTAAAATGATGACTTCCTATTGCAAATAAAATTGTAATCAATCTAATAAGGAAAGATTAACACATAAAATTCTAGTTGATTTAAAGTTCTAGTTTTAGGAAAATTAGCATAAATAGTAATTGAATGTTTATTTCTAAATATAAGGAAGACAATTTAAATTACAATTTTATCTAGTGTAAAGCCAATTTTTTAAGGGTAAAAAGGCGAACAACATTTCTATAAGGGGCTTGATGCTTATAATATAGTATAGATAGATTATAGATTTTATTACTCAAACACAACTTTTTAAAAAATATATAAGTTTCTTACAAAAAAGTACTCTTTGAGATGGAAAACAAGCGGAAAAAATATAAGTTCCTAAAAAGATACAAATTATTTTCAAATTTTTCTCCTACTCAAACAATATACTATACTCTTATGAAAATTACTCTTTGAGATGGAAACATATGCAAAAAATATAAGTTCCTAACAGGATAAAAATTATTTTCAAACTTAATACCGCTTTCGGCCTGTACAATACCCAACTTTATTTATTCTCATTCCTAATAGGCCAATGTTATTCCAGTTTGAAAAACTAGAGACTGGATAAATGGCAAACACATAACACTCTGCTTCTTTATGATGGCAATTTCCTTTGTCCAATCCCCCATGAGCACAACCCTCACTTTCCTCCATTCTCTCTCCTCCTCCCCTTTCCTCCACCGTCACCGCCGCCGCCTCTTATCCACCTCACCACCCCTTTCCCTTCCCTTAAAGCCCCTTTCATTTACTCCCTTATCCACTTTACCCCAACAAGTTCTGTTTTCATCCCATGAAACCCAAGACAATAACAATTTGGACATTTCTTCATCTGGGTATCCTGAAAGTTTCAATTTTGACGAGTCTTTTGATTCTACTGAGCTGAAAAAGTTTGAAACACCGGCCGTTGAAGTTAGTGAACTAGAGGACATTCCTGACCAATGGCGTAGGTCAAGATTAGCTTGGCTTTGTAAGGAACTTCCAGCACATAAAACACCTACTATGGTTCGGATTCTTAATGCACAGAGGAAATGGCTTAAACAAGAAGATGCTACTTATATTGCTGTTCATTGTATGCGTATTCGTGAAAATGAAGCTGCTTTTCGGGTAATATCTTAATCACCTTTGTTTAGGCATTCTTTGTTATATAAGAGTTCTGTTGTGCTCTCTGCTTTACTTGAGCCGATGGTCTATTGGAAACAACATGTCTAACTCACGATTGGGGTAATGTATAGTTGTTGTTGTTATTGTTGCTCTCTATTGTGTTCTCTATCATTCTTTGTTTGCTTGAATCATGTACGATGATGACATGAGTTGAGCTTAAATTAAGCCGTGAGGATTCGTATAGCCGACCCTACTTGTTCGTAACTGATGCGTAGCTGTTGATATTGTATCATTTGTAGCTTGACTTATCATTAGCTATTATGTGGAACAAAGTTGCTAGAAATATTGGAGAATGTGGAGAAAATTGTTAATGCAACTTATATTGCTGTTTACTGTATTTTTTCCATTTTTCAGATATCTAACACATAAGGGATCTAATTTACTCTTTATTAGGTATTTAAAATAGTAGAGTCTAAACTCTAAATCACAAAGATCTAAAAGTTTCTGTTGCGCATAACAGGTTTACAAATGGATGATGCAGCAACATTGGTTTCGATTTGATTTTGCTCTAGCTACAAAGCTAACAGATTACTTGGGTAAGGAACGAAAGCACTTGAAGTGCCGAGAGATTTTTGATGACATTATTAACCAGGGACGAGTGCCGCCTGAATCTACATTCCATATTCTCATCATTGCCTATCTTAGTTCACCTGGCCCATCAGAGTTAGATGAAGCGTGTAGCATCTACAATCGCATGGTGCACTTGGGAGGTTATAAGCCTCGGCTTAACTTACACAATTCTCTGTTTAAAGCTCTTTTGGGGAAGAAACCAGGCTCCAGTAAACACTTCCTGAAACAGGCAGAATTTATATATCAGAATTTAACTTCCTCAGGATTGAATATACACAAAGATATTTTTGGTGGTCTTATATGGCTTCACAGTTATCAGGATGTGGTGGATATGGAAAGAATTGCTGCGCTAAGAGCAGAGATGCGATCAAGAGGAATTCAAGAGAGCAAAGAGGTACTCGTGTCAGTCTTAAGAGCTTGCTCAAAGGATGGGGATCTGGAGGAAGCCGAACGAACTTGGGCAAAACTCCTCTCCGTTGATCGTAGTCCTCCTTCACAAGCTTTTGTATATAAAATGGAAGTCTATGCAAAGATCGGAGAGCCTATGAAATCTTTGGAAGTATTTAGAAGGATGCAGAAACAACTGAGTTCCACCTCCGTTGCTGCATACCATAAGATAATAAAGGTGTTGTCTAAATCTCAAAAACTAGATCTTGCAGAGTCTATCATGTCCGAGTTCATAAACAGTGGTATGAAGCCGCTGATTCCATCATTCATCGATTTGATGGGAATGTATTCAATTGCAGGCTTACATGAGAAACTGGAGTCTACCTTTCTCTGTTGCCGTAAAGTCTGTGGTCCAAATCAGACGGTTTTTAATATTTATTTGGATTCCTTGGTGCATACTGGCAATCTGAACCGGGCTGAAGAAATCTTCAATGAAATGCGTGGTGATGTTGCAATTAGTCTTGATTCTCGTTCTTGCAACAGTATTTTGAGAGGCTATTTGACCTGTGGAGAGTATGTGAAGGCAGAAAAGATATATGATTTGATGCGCCAAAAGAAGTACGACATTGAGATTGAATCTTCACTGATGGAAAAACTTGACTTTGTTCTAAGCTTGCGGGAGAAAGTAGTCGAAGAACCTATTCGGCTGAAGCTCACGAAAGAACAACGAGAGGTTTTGATGGGGTTGCTTCTCGGGGGTTTGCAAATTAGATCATATGGAGAGAGGAGGAGGAGAGTACACGCAATTCATTTTGAGTTCAATGAAGAGTCGAGGATCCATGCCATTTTAAAGGGACACCTACACGCTGAATTTCATGAGTGGTTAGGCTCTCATGATATGATGGTGGATGGCTCTGATGACATTCCTAGTTCCTTTACTACCATCTCACATTCTTGTTTTACTTTCTATGCTGATCAGTTCTGGCCCAATGGACGTCCTGGAATACCAAAACTTATACATAGATGGCTGTCACCTTGTGTTCTTGCTTATTGGTACATGTATGGCGGTTACAGGACATCTTCTGGTGATATTCTATTGAGAGTAAAGGGAAGTCGAGAGGAAGTTGTGAGTATTGTAAAAGCGCTGAAAGCCAAATCATTAGGCTGCCGAGTAAAAAAGAGGGGGAGGGTCTTTTGGATTGGTTTTCTGGGGAACAATGCTACATGGTTCTGGAAAGTGGTAGAGCTTTATATTCTTGATAAATTAAAGGATCTCCTTAAAGCGGGTGGCAACTCAGACGGATCCCTAGAAATCCAAAATATCAATTTCGACAGTGGGTCGGAGTCTGAGGAGAAAAATTCCGATTACAGCGATGCTGACACGTCATAGGGCCTCTTCTCATTGATGTACTGTTCTCTATGCCTTTATTGCAAGGTGTAATAGGTTATTTGTGGTTAAAATGTTGCTCCAGAATTCTGGCTGATAAGGCGCTCTGGTGCCTTCTTCTGATAGGTATCATTAACTCATTACTATCTCTTTATGTGTATAGTGGTGGTGAAAAACATAAATGTAAACTAGCTCTAGAATAACCTTGTAGATTCCTCTGGTACATCACATTGTTGGGATTTTATCTTCTTCGTTCCAATGACTGGTGTGGGTTACAATACCTTCTCTCTCTCTCTCTCTCTCTCTCTCTCTCTCTCTCTCTCTCTCTCTCTCTCTCTCTCTCTCTCTCTCTCTCTCTCTCTCTCTCTCTCTCTCTCTCTCTCTCTCTCTCTCTCTCTCTCTCTCTCTCTCTCTCTCTCTCTCTCTCTCTCTCTCTCTCTCTCTCTGAGGTTTTTGCAAGGTGCCTCTTGGTTTCTAGATCTGACTTAATCTGTCCCTCCTTTTGTATGGCATAGACAATCGGTGTAATTCTATTTTTGTACTTATGAGTAATCAATTACAGCTTCTTAACGGGAAGAGGAAATGTGTAGTTTTAACTAATCAAGATGCATTAGTTGAAAGCATGAATTAAACTCGGAGGGTATAAGGCAATTGATTCAAATCCCAACAGAGACAAAAAATACTAGGTTTCTTTCCTTCTGCTAACCCTTGGCGGGTAGAGTTACCTGCTGGTAGGAGGTAGCAAGTACCTTGTTTCATGCTGATCTTCCATATGGCAATAGTGCTTTCATTATACCTCTTATTTATGTTTTTTATTTTAATAAACTGCTTTGCCTAATACGTATAAAATAAGTCATGTGTGTAATGTTTTTGTGCAATGCAACTAGGTTCAGGGAAACAACTGACTCCATTATATGCCTTTATATTGATCCTTACATGTGTTATATATGTTTCATTCCTATAATCTCTTGATGTTGTCGGTCAAGCAGAATGACTGTCTGGGCAGAGAATTTGCCGAGTCAATCAAATTGGTGCAAAGTTCTTGCTATGTGAGAAATTTTTTGTGGTCAGAATCACAAGTTTGAGATGAATAAAGTGCGGAGCACTGTTTCTCTGAGCTGAGAATGACAGTAGAATCACTAACTTTTTAATTTTTTTAGAAGGATGTAATTTTGTTATTTGGTCTTTTGGTTGTGGTTTGGGGGGGGGGGGGGGGAGAGGGGATGTCAGCATTGCCCGTATCATGTCATAATCTACCAAATCAGTAATATGAAACTCGGGATTTTTCTTCATTGCAATTATCTTGTGAAAGTTGATGCTTATTCCCATAGAAAAGAAAGAAAGAGGAAAACATTGAATTTTTTCTTTGTTAATGACATGTTCCTTGCATATGAATTAGCATTTAGCAATCTTTCTTGTTAACTAATACAGCTAGTCTAGAAACCCGAGTCTCCAGCGAGGGAAAAAAGGGTGACAAGAATAAGGCAGTGAAGAAGTTAAGAGCAGAGAGCTGTCTTGAACTTAATAGGCTGCTATTTGACAGATCATCAATGTCTCTTTCCAGTCGTTTACTGCCACTATGACTTGCTGTAATGTGCCCAAGATATCTACTTTGTTGTTTTTCCATATGTTTGTAAGCCATCTCTACAGTTTGATTAGTCAGCTTTAGATGGCCTCTGGCAAACGTGTTGCATGAATTGCAGAATTTCCTGTGGCATTTCCATAATCTGTACCTAATCGGTTCTATGAATCTTAAATTAACTCAATGAACTCAGATTTTCTTTCATTGCAATGATGTGTGAAGTTGACGTACACTCTCATAGGAAGGGACGATATGAGGATTTTAATAGTTGACATGTTCATTGCATCTGAATTAGCACTCAGCAATCTTTTTTGTTGATTAATGCAGCCAGCTGAACTCAAGTCTCCATCGAGGAAAATAGATGAGAACAGAGAGATTTCCTGTAACTTAATATGCTGCAATTTAACGGATCTCCAGAATCTCTTACAAACTTTAACTGCAACTGTGAATTACTCTAATGTGCTTAAGTTTTTAGCTCAATGTTTTACCATGAAACTGCACACATTCAGATTTTTGCTAAGCGATGTGCGTCAGAGAAGCCACAGCTGAACGATAGGGGTTGGCTCTGTTTCCATCGTCCAGTACCGTGGTGAAGAACTTCAAATGCATTCAGCTGGTCTAAAAAGGCAGCTTGGTGCACTAAGCTGTTTCTGGAAAAAGAGCCGGACCACAAGGGTCTGTTGTACGTAGCCTTACCCTGCATTTCTGCAAGAGGCTATTTCCTGTGACCTCTTGGTCACATGGCAGCAGCTTTACCAGTTACGCCAAGGCTCCCCTTCGGCCGGTAAAAACAGATATTGCAGTATATAAGAAATTAGCTACAGGTTTGTTGCTTTTCTTTTTTTGTTTGCATCCTTTCAATTGCTGCACTCCTAGTATTTGAATCACCACTTGTGCTTCTGAACTTTTCACTTTTTAGTGTTGAATAAAATCATGTTAATAATACTAAGGTGGTATCATTACTTGCCATCTCTATAGCTTTGTATCTTCATGTTAAGGACTTCAGTTATAAACTATCAAGATAGTGTTGTACTTGTGTTATGATCTTATCATCTTCATACCATAAACTTTTTAATCATCTGTTTCCTCGCTTTCTCTTATATTATTATTTGACATGCTTCCTGTAAATGTTATGACAAATAGATCAACATTTAAAAAGTTACTACCAGAGGTCAAGTTTATACAAAAAGGATTTCATTACTTTAAATTGCCAGGCAGTAAGATAGTGCTGGGCAGTACAAAAATACAGTTACATTAATTACAGTTCCTTCCTGTTTTGTAACTGATGGATGAATTCTGTAAGAGTCATTGACTTGCCAGCGCTACTAATTAAGTGCCAACATCTAGCTGTACTATCAGTATGAAGGTAGCCGGTGTCATACAAAGCACTTTCTCTTTCTATGTTTTTTGATTGCAGCTGGCACGCTTGACTCAAAGTAGACCTTGTAGAAAAGTGAATTGGAACTGAAGCCTATAGACTCAAACCACCAGCTGGGTGAAAAGTAACCCCATATTTCATCTAAGTTATTATCTACATTTGACGAATTGCACCAGAATGCTGAATTACATAAGAATTTTTATGCACGTCAACTCGTTGTTTTCTTTCCAACACATCCAGCTACTAAGCCTGGTGTACTAAGCTCCCACTATGTGCGGGGTCCGTGGAAGGGTCGGACCACAAGGGTTTATTGTAGTCTTATCCTGCATTTCCACGGCTTGAACCCGTGACCTCCTAGTCATATGGCAGCAACTTTGCCAGTTACGCCAAGGGTTACTAAGCAGTTCCGTAAAAATGTAGTTTTGGAAGTTGCTGAACTGGATCGATGATCTTTCTAGTTGAATCATAGATTAGACTGCTAAATGCTCATTGTGGGTGGGGGTGGGAATAATTGCATATTGGTACTTAAACAAATTTTGTTTAATGTGGTTATGGCATAAGAAAATTACTTGTTGAACGATGCCCGCATATTTCTCCTGTAAAATTAATTAATGTTTTATATCGAATTATCCGGTATCGAATTATAATGGTATCAAAATTCAATCTTAATTCAAGCCAAACGATTAAAAATTCATAATTACCATACTATAAGCAACACCTTACAAGGAATGAGCAAGTTACGTTCATAATTTATACTCTACTGGAAAAGGTAAAAGAAAATTTCCATAAGGAAATGAGGCGGTGAAGTGAAATGTGAAAGAAAGTTAAAGAGGTAATGAATTTAAGTATATTTTCTAGAGAAACCTTCAGAAACCACTATGTTTTATTGGTTATTAGCTAGTTGTAGCTACCATTTACTATATTACTTCCTATAACTATGTTTTCAGGTTTTTTAGAGTGTATTCGATGTATTTAAGCTACTGTATTCATGAATACAGTAGCATTTTTCGGCGCGAAAAAGGGATTACAGCTAGACAGATTATTGTATTCGACTGTATTCACGGCGTGAAACAGGGAATTACAGCTAGACAGATTATTGTATTCGACTGTATTCACAGCGCAATTCATTGTCTATTCAACTGTTTTTAAACGGAAAGTGAATCAATTAACATAATAGACTCCTAATATAACTCGACAAACTCAATTATAACACACAAAATTTGTATTTCCAGTTATAAAAAAGATTCTGAATCGAAAAACACCCTAAAAATATATCAATCTTCAGAGAAATTATATAATTACATTGAATATAGTTAAAATATATAAAAATACATTGAATACATGAAATATAGTAAGTCATCGATAGTGCAAAAACATATGAATACATACTGTAGATACATTTGAATATATATATATATATATATATATATCTGAATACATAAATTATATTAATTAAAAAAATTATATAAATACATTCATGGAATATAGCGAGACAGTGAATACAATGAAATACATGGAATACATCGAGATACACTGAAATACAATTAAAAATAATAATAATGAATACAATGAAATACTGCGAGATTCATTGAAATACACTTAAAAAAAAAGGTAACAGAATCTTCAATTTGCTCAGCCCCAAACTCCGTCGTCTTTGTTCAAGAACAACTCTAATGTCGTCTCGTCGAGAGGACCGCGATTCTGACTCGAAACGTCATTGTTCCCGTTACTTTGATACTATTCCGGCAATAGAAAGCAAAGTTATGCGAGAACAAACCTAACAGTAACTACTTGTAAATTCAATGGCAACTTCTGTTTAGTGCCACTATTTTTCTTCCCCACTAACAACTTTTACCAAACCCATCAAGCATAAGCCTCCCCTCAATTACACACATTTTGCAGCTTCTCGTAATAAAAATTGATGTCGCCATTTTGATGAGAACGAGAATCGGAGCCGAAGAGGGTTGACGACGGCAAAGGAGTTGGATACACTTTAATATAGTACTTCTTCTTCGACGAGTTTATCTTATATGGAGAAAATTGGCGTTGAGAGAGAGAGGGTGGAGAAAAATCTAAAAGAATGAGAGAGAAAAATAATACAAAGAGTATTTTATGGATTAAGGGTAGGAAGTAACCATAAATAGATATTTGGCTATAAAAATTAAAAGGTAGCTATAGAATATAATTTTTTAAAAGGGTATTTATTTAAGATAAATAAGGTATCAACATTTGCTACATGATGTAAAAATTCCTATTCTATTCTCTTTTATATGATACAATTCACATAAGGTAACTTTTTCAATGTTAAAAGGAAAAGGTGTGGTAATTCAAAATGTTATAGGTTGTGTTGGCCTTTTGAAGAGATGAAAAATACTTTATTTTGCTTTTGAGGTCAAACGAGTTGCCTATCCTATCAAATAGCCAAATTCAGGGTAAAAAACACTAAAAGTAATTCAAATGTGCACTAAATAAACGGGGCCAAGTTCTGGAGATCCCGAAATATTATGCAAAATAGAAAAAGGGAGAGACATGTGTTGTAAACTCCGCAGTCCGCATGTATGAGCTTGCTCATATTACATTTTCAGCTCCAAGCTCAAATAGAAGTAGGGGTGTTGGCACAAGCCTAGTAATTTTTGTTCAAATACTGTATTTAACGTTTAGAATTCATTAAATATGTATAAATATTAACTTTAGAACTCAATCATTAACACTTGAAGTCGTTGTTCTGACATCCAGAAACCCATAGGGTTAAAATTATGGCTCCGCCCGGATAGAGGAGGATCATGGTAGACTAATAGCCTAACGTAAATTTAGCTAATTCACGATGAATCCTCAAATACAAATATTGTTATATGAATGCTGTAAAAATATTTATTGTGTTTTATCCTTCTTCAAGTTGATTGAAGAGATGAATCTCTGTATTTGTTATTTTTGAATTAACCAAAAATTGATGGAAAAAATTCCAGCAATTATTAACGTCTTTTTCTCTTCTTTCCATACAAAAGAGGAAGAAGAGATTTGTTGACTGTAGAAGTTGTGGTCTTTCACTTCTGTTAGGTCCATAGCTCTAAGGAGTCCTTTGTTCTGATGACATCTTGCAGATATAGCCCTTCAAATTATTGATTTATTTCATAAAATAATAGTGACTTTTTCCAGACGTTACTACTACTTTCTACCAGAAATGAGAAAAACATATCCATTCATTTCTTAAATTTGTAGTAGATATATTAATAGTTCACATTTATCACGAGGAGTCACAAATTTCAAATATTTTGTTAGACAAGAGGCACAACATGATCCTATATTTGCCTAACCTTGTCTTGACTTTTTTTGCTCTAAGCATCTTAGGGCCCTGGCGATCCATTATTCTATAGGATCTTTAAAAGATTTTCTTAAACGAATAAAAATTTAAACATAATAAGTCTTATATTCTACTAAGACAATATTTCTTGTTATACTGTCAGCGTATATAATTCAAGTTGAAAGCCTGAACACATGGTCGAGTATGCAATGAATTGAAAGGCGAAAATTGCGTCAATATCGAGTAGTGCATTGGATTATTTGACACATTATTTGTTTGCAGAACATAATCACACAAAACATAATGCACCGAAAATCAACTTATAAATACTGTTGGCTTATTTTTTACTACCATATAGTGTTCGTTGCAGAATTCCAAGAGAGTATTTCACAACGTCGAGGTCGAAAAAAGTTAAATACTCTATTATCTATGCATAAAACAATTCTACACTATATATGTTTTGTGTGTAACAAACATAAAAATGCAGTCTCGAGAAACATGAAATAAATAAAAAATCTAATAGTATAATATACTATACAACAAATCCCAGACTTTCAGAGAGTGTCAAAATGTCGTCGAGATACGCCCAAAGAAACCAAATCATTCTCTTATCTACTCGTTCTTCAAAACCATATCAGTATATCATTCGAATATTCGTTGATGAAACAGACACTAAACTGAAAATACTCAGGCCAAAGAAAACCACCAAACAACAGAAAGGAAAGGAAAAAAAGTTTAAAAAAATTAGAAAGGAAGGAAGGCAATGAAAGAAGAAACAGAAAAGAAGGGGCAATTAAAAGAAATGAGAAAAGGAGGTATAAGTATATTATTATTTATTGTAATTATGAAGTTTCAATTTTTGAGTTGTAATCTTCTCAAACTTGTTATTCAGAAATGAAAAGGAATTTTAAGAAATTTAGAGTGAATTAAGCAAGCTTGAAGAAAATAAGGCTATCTAAGGCACTGGGTTACTTGAAATGTTCATTTGCACTGTAATTCGCAAATTGTTTGCAAGTGCCCATTCACGAAAAACTGAAAAATCGCGCGAAATCAAAAATTAAAAATCAAATCAAATTGACTTCATAATCGGATTAATTGTTTGGTCTAGTTTGTTCAAAATTATATTTTAGAAAATCAACACGTATTATTTAGTTTCATTTGATAATAAACAAAAAAATTGAACTAAACCAGAAAAATTAAAAAGTTCCTAAAAGATGTTTATAGGAGCTTTAAAATAATTATCTTTTTTTTTTTAATCAAAATTAAATGGCTGACAACTCTAGTCATCTTTTTAGGAACATCTTTACGGAAAAAAATAAATTAGAAATAGCCAAATTTACAACTGGTAATTAAAAAATAGTCATAATTTCAAACTTAACCGAAATTTAGCTACTTTTTCATATAAAGATAAAATCTGAACAAAAATACTCTTAAAAATCCAGAAAATTCCAGCATAATATGCTGCAGTTACATGTGAGATTCCAGCATAATGTGCTGGAGTCCAGCACATTATGCTGGAAGTTTAAATGCAGGAGCTCCATAATCCAACATATTATGCTGGAACTTTCCGTGTGTTGGAGTTACAACATAATATGCTGGAAGTTTAACGCAGGAACTCCATAATCCAGCATATTATGCTGGAACTTTCTGTGTTTGAGCAAAATAGTGATTCTTTCTCAATAACTTTGCAAAACACTGACTATTTTTTGATTACCAATCCGAAAATTGGCGTTTTCACCATCTTTACGCATTCGTGTCACCTTGTGGAAGTTTCCGTCTGTTTATACATTTGGCTCTGATTGATACATGGTGTAGGTTTATTCATTTTGTTTTATTATACTCCCCTTTCTGTTAGAGTCCAAATAGCATACACAGCCATAAAATGAGTCAAATTTGGTAGACTTTCAGCCACTAGCTAACGCAAGGTATCAATGGACACCAACATTCCAACGCCTATTAATTAAGAAGCACCAATGTACAACTGTCACTGTTTCATTTTCCCTACTATTATAGGAGATACTAATAGACTAGAGGCCCTTCCCTCCTTGTGGCTGTGAATTAAATGGATAAAGAATGAAATCAATACAATAATTCAACTAATAGCTCGAAACCAATAAAAGGCAAAAAATCGAAGTCAAGAGCCTTATGTCGAGTTTTCCAAAATTCTTGATAAGGTTATTGAATTTGTCTCAAGCAGTAGAGGAGCCACATATATTCAAGATCATCGAAAAATAATATTGTGTAACTTAATAATTTTGTGTGTATATACATACAATATATATTAACACACATTTCCTTCTTCGTGAATTTACTTTTTATATTTTAACCTCAAAATCCTGCTCTGCCAAGATGGTACCATATTGCAAGACCAAGGTCGAAAGGAAAATAATTGACCTTAAATAAGTGTATAACGTGCAAACATATAAAAGACAGTCCCAAGGAACATAAATAAATCTATATTACTCTACAAAGATTTTAAATCCAATAGGTAAAAGTTATTCTAAATTTTGAGGTGGTCTTAAATATTAATTAATCACCTCCCTAACTTTAACCTATAGTATAATATGATCTATACAATAATCTCGAACTTCTAGTGCCAAACTACATCGAGCTGCCCTAATTAAAAAAAAATACTATTAATCCAGGCTGTGAATTTTTTCTCACAGCAAGAAATCCATGAATTTGAGCCAAGGCAAGGTTATCTTCGTAACAGTAGCTGTATCAGCTTGCTTTGCACAGCTAGAAGACGACGTCATTACGGCACCTTCCACAGCATTTGACTTTTTTGGGCACAAAAAGAAATTCCTTGAACCTAATCCCATCAGCTTCTCCTCCCTGTCCAAACCTGGGCCCACATTCAAAAAAATGAAAATATAAGTTTTTTGTTATCCAATCAAGAGCCATAAAATTTACAAACATTCAATCAAACGGCTCTTACTCACTTTCTAAACTAAACTGCGAGTAATGAAGATCGTAATCGGCAGGATTGCCGGAGGTAAGTACCGGCCGCCGTCCTTCCTTCGTGTACTGTCGGATAGTGGCGGCGATAAGGTCCTGAACCGTCGATTCTACCGATATTAAAACATGTACAGGACCGAGACTCCTCTGAATTGTCACGTTCAGCAATAACTTCGTCAACTTCAGCCGGTCCTTCACTTCGGGCGACGTTCCGGCAGCAAGCCTACTGGCGGATAGCAAATCCGGTACTGTTCGAGGCCTTCGCAGCAGCTCCGTCGTGCTCTCTGAACTCTGTCCGTGAAACGACATGGATTTCTCGGATAACTTTCCTTTTCGATTCTTCTCGTCAGAACCTTTCCGGTGACTTCTCGGAGAAGGCATTATAGTCTCGTATGAATATCTCTAATAAATCTATATGTAAGTGTAGATTTTTTTGTTGATTTTTTTTCGGGTTACCTGATTCGGCGGTAGCGGAAGAATCTGGGGCGAGGGAAGCTGAGAGCAGGCACAGAGAGGTGGCTCTCAGTTTCTCGGTGAACGGACATAACCAGCGTGGTAGAATTTAGATGAACTAGAGGGGCTAATATGAAAATGAGCTAAACTAGCATTGACGAAAAGAATGAAGAAACTGGAGGGGAGGTATACTCCTATTTATATGGGGGATTTTTGTGGATGAAGATAAGAAGGTATATTACAGAAGCCCCTGATCTTTTTATTATTGGTCGAACCGATAACCGGTAATTACAGTTAATAGGGACAAAAGAATTGCAATTAAAAGAAAGAAATGTCACCGGTGATAACAAGTTGTCGGTTCCTGTTTGATTAATTTTAGGGAAAATTTCATATAAGAACAACTGGGCTCCCACTTTTTAATTTTATAGCTCATATTTCAATTTACAACCAACTAGCCCAAAAATAATAGGCTAAGATTTAACATCCAACTCCAATAGGTTCTCAAAATTACTCCATCCGTTCCAATTTATGTGAACCTGTTTCCTTTTTGGTCCGTTCAAAAAAGAATGACCCCTTTCTAAATTTAGAAACAATTTAGCTTAAACTTCCAATTCTACCCTTAATGAGAAGCTTTTATAACAATACAAATACTCTGGACCCTTTTTGACTTGCTTAGGACCACAAATTCCAAAAGTCTTCATTTTTCTTAAACTTCATGCCCACTCAAACAGGTTCACATAAATTGGAACGGAGGGAGTACTATTTAATTTTTAAAAAAGATTGCTCGAGCTTTTAAGTTAATTTTCGAATCAGTAACTATGACCCAAATATTAGTTCAACAAACCAAATCCATTTGAGTGGTGAAAATTAAATTTTTAACAAGCTTAAATATGTGAGTTTAAATTTTGAATTTGATTTTGTGAGAAATTTGGAGTGCGTGTTATTTAGACTTGTTAGAAATAGTATAAGGAGGTTGTATAAAAAATTTGAAGTCATTTAATGGAGATTTGGACTGGTTTTGAAAAAGAATTGCAACTGAAAATCGTGGAAGAAGTTCGTCTACAGACGCTTGTATAAAGGTGCATAATAGTGTATAAGATGTGTTTAACACTCATATACACTATTATACAAGATTATACATAATCATACAAAAAACTGACTTCTTATTTTTCCTTGCGTCTTTTCTGAAATTTAACTCAAATCTACTCCAAATCACTTCAAATTTAAATTTTTAACTCCTTTTGATATTTTCAATCAATTGGACAACACCCAATCCAAACAACTAACAAACTCAAAAATTCCTACTTTTGAAAAAACAAAGCTTTGAATGTCCTTCAATGGTGGACTTCTACTCTTCAATTTTTTTACATTGACATAGGGGGAGAAGCAGTAATGGCGGACGGCCCCTTGAAGCATATGTAAAAGATGTGAGAAGAAGAGAGAGTGAAAGCAATGGTTGTGAAAACACAGATTTAACTCCATAGCTTTAGAAGCATTGGTTGTAAGAACACAGATTTTAAATTTGCAAGAGCTACTATTTTCGATATATGTACAATATGGGCTAGGTCGGGTAAACTTAAAAACACGAGCAATTTTTTGTTATGATGTGAAGTCATGTGTATTTTCTTGTAATTCTTTCTACGCCTCAGAAGTTTGCTTTCAGTTATCACTTGTTTGGCTGCCAATTTGGTCTAATGTCATCTCAATTGTTCTTAATTAAAATCAAAATGATATTAAGAGCCCGTTTGGATATAAGAAATTTTTCTCTTTTTTCCAATATTTTTTCACCTTTTTCCGAAATCAGCGTTTGTTCATAAAATTTCCAATTTTCAATTGAAGATGCATTTTGGAAATTTTCAAAAATTTGAAAAACTCCAAGAAACTGTTTTTCAAAATTTTCACTCAAATCACTCAAAAAAATTAAAAAACAACCCAAAACTATATTCATGTCCAAAACAACTATAATTTTCAAATATCATTTTCACTTGAATACTCACATTTTTTTAAAAAGACAAAAAATTCACAGCATGGTTTCATTCTTCTAATTTTCGATCTCAACTGGATATCTACTTTTATATTATTAGAAATTAGATAAATGATAAGTATTAGAGATTTACAAATTTTTTTTATAATTAAAAAATGTTTAAACTATATATTAAAATGTTGGGATTAAAAAGAACGTTTGTCACTTTGTCTTTCAATTAATAATGTCACGAATGTATTTCAAAAGAGAATACTACTATCAATTTATTAGCTCTTTTGTCTATAATATAACAGTAAATTTTAACGACAACTGATAATGTACGTCAGGAGGTGGGGAAGATCCTTCAAAACTGATAGTAGGAGCTAATCTACATTGGGTATTTTTTAATAACATTTTACTTGTTTTTTTAAAGTTAAAATAAAGAATCTACATTATGTGTTATTTATACCAAATCAATTTATTTTATTATAGTTAAATGATTTGATTAAAAATAAAATTAATTAATCACGATCAAATAATAAGAGCAAAAAGCAAAACATATATTTTATTTTTATTAATTTGATGTAAATATTCGGTGCAGATAAATTTTTATGCCGCGAGAATCCTTCTACACAAGACTCTCGCATCACTATGGCCGGCTTTTGTCCATGTTCGACTAGTCAATCTCACAGTTTGGCAGGTTTATACTATTACACGAGCAAAATCAGCCTATTTGAAGGTGACACGTGGTAAACGCCGGCAGTGCTTCGCGAGAGTACTAACGGTTTTATGGTGTAAAATCAGTTTTGGCGGCTTTGTGGTCCACTGAATTAAAGACACATATGTCAAGGTGGTGACTGTGCAGCTTTAAGACATTTCCAGTTTGGCATTAAGAATTATTTCAGTAATCTTTGTGGGCGTTTGGACATAAGAATTGTAAAATTTCAATAAAAAGGTACAAAAAAACTCAAGTAAAAATGATATTTAAAAATTAAAATTATATTTGGACATGAATATAATTTTGGGTTATTTTTGAAGTTTGTGAGTGATTTGGGTGAAAATTTTGAAAAGCAGTTTTTTGGAGTTTTTCAAATTTTTTAAAAATTTAAAAATTCATCTTCAAGTGAAAATTGGATTATGACCCAACACTGATTTTGAAAAAAGAGATTTTTACATTCCTATGCCACATAGGAAACCTTATTACACCTCAATGTTTAAGGTTTGATTTAATTACACTTAGTATACCAAATTACCAATCTTATACCATACTTAATTAAGGGTCTAATTAATGGGCAGTTTTTACTCCTTAATTAAAGGTGTCCATATATCCCACGTTTCTCTATCCCCCTAATTCCTAAGACCTGCGCCGTTTTTCCCCTCCCCTTTCTTCCTCTTCTCCATTCCTTCTTCTTCTCAAAAAATACAGAGATGGAAATTGCAATTTTTGTTACGTACGAAATAGCAGGGCCCACGCTTTCCTATTTCTTTTCGGATTCAAAATCATATTCTTATGGTTTTACGACATAGAGCTACTGTCTTTTTTGGTATGTAAGCAAAAGCAATCTAGGGCTCTCAATTTTTCCGTTGGAGAAGAGACGCATAAGCCCAGCCTCAGGCGTGTCAAATGTTGATGTCCATCTCAAAATTCTATACAATATTTACCTTTAAATCACCCTTGAAACCAATCAATCCCCTACCCCTTTTTCTGACTTTGATTCAAAGATTCAACTTTTAAAGACTAAGCTTCACCCTGAAACCTTAAATTGATTTGTAGTTTTTTTTTGTAGAAATTTTGTAGGTGAAGAGAAAATTTTGTAGTCAACATTTTTTTCAACATAAATTGTAGTTTAATTGTAGTATAAATATAGTAACTTTGTAGATACTCTTAAAAATAATACAGCTTTATACAATACTTAAACTGATTTGTAGTTTATTTGTAGTTTTTTTTTGAAGAAATTTTGTAGATGAAAAGAAAATTTTGTAGTCAATATTTTTTTTCAACATAGATTGTAGTTTAATTGTAGTATAAATGTAGTAATTTTGTAGATACTCTTAAAAATAGTACAGCTTTATACAATGCTAAAACTGATTTGTAGTTTATTTGTAGAAATTTTGTAGATGAAGAGAAAATTTTATAGTCAATTTTTTTTTCCAACATAGATCGTAGTTTAATTGTAGTATAAATGTAGTAATTTTATAGATATCCTTAAAAACAATACTGTTTTATACATACTTAAACTGATTTGTAGTTTATTTGTAGATAAATGTAGGAATTTTATAGATATTAACATAAAATCAGACTTTCATAGAATTTGTAACATAACAATTTTAATCAGCTCCCTCTAATTCCTAAGACCAGCGCCGTTTTCCCCCTCCCATTTCTTCCTCTTCTCCATTCCTTCTTCTTCTCAAAAAATACAGAGATGAGACCTATTTTTTATAATCAGATTTTTTCCATTCAATTGTAGCATGATTGGGATTTTGGACATGATTGAGTGTTGTTGCTGAGGTATTGTTCTATATTTTATTGTTTTTTTGATTTGTGGATTGAGAAAAAAAAGATGAAGAACAGAGTATCGGCAGTATTGGCTTCTACAATTTGACTTGATTTTGTTGAATAACTGGTCGCCTTTTTGATGTCTGGATTGAGGAAGAAACTCGACGAACTGATTTCTACAATTTGATTTCAGTTTGTTGAAGCTTTTCGTCTTTTTTTTTTGAATTACGAAAAAAATTCGGGAGAGATCAGATAAAGGATTTGCGTTCAAATTTGAACTGAAGGTCGCTAAATCAATTAGGATATTCTTTTCCTGATTTTTAGCGCGCCAAATTAGGAAGATTCAGCTACTATTAATTACTAATTAATGAATGGTATAAAAATTGTAGAAAAACAGTGCACATGTCGGGTAATTTACAAAATATGCACATATTTGATAATAAAGTTTCATATATGGTATAGGAAAGAAAAAACCCCTTGAAAAAAAGTAAAAACAATTTGGAAAAAAATGAAAAAAATTCTTATGTCCAAACGGGCCTTTTGTCCATCAATCTTTGCAAATTTATGAAATTTAATAGGAGAATTAGAAGTACTGTGTAATATTAAAAAAATTGTTTGAAAAGTATTTTAAATTGAAATGAGTTTCACACATATAGTTTTCATTTTTCAAGTAAAAGACAACTTCAACTTTCATTTTTTCTTTTACCTTCAACCAAATTTTGTCTAAAGGCCTA